CCCCCTACTGAGCCCCCCCCACTCCCTCCAGTCCAGCGCCCCCTACTGAGCCCCGTCCCGCTCCCTGCAGCCCAGTGCACCCTACTGAGTCCCCCCCACTCCCTGCAGCACTGCGTCCCCTACTGAGCCCCCCCAGTCCCTGCAGTACTGCGCCCCCTACTGAGCCCCCCCACTCCCTGCAGTACTGCGCCCCCTACTGAACCCCCCCACTCCTTGCAGCACAGCGCCCCCTACTGAGCCCCCCCCCGCTCCCTGCAGTACTGCGCCCCCTAGTGTCACCCACCCACTGGTGAGCTGGCTCAGAATTCCTGCGTCTCTTTGTTTTATCCTCCATTTTCAGGAAAATGTGACCAACTTTTAAAAATGAATGAACCCAACTCTGTCTCTAGGAGTGACTCAAGTGATGACCTGTGCTGGCCCCACGGGGTACCTGGGGCTGGCCCCACAGGGGGAGTGCCTGGGGCTGGCCTCATGAGATGTGCCTGAGGCTGGCCCCTGTTGTGGGGGATGGGGCTGCCCCCACTGGGTGCCAGGGGCTGGGACTGGCCGGACGTGGGGAGTGCCTTGGGGCTGGCCCCGTGGGGGGTGCCTGAGGCTGGCCCCTGTTGTGGGGGCTGGGGCTGCCCCCATGGGGTGGCTGGGGCTGGCCCCAGGGGAGGAGTGGGGCTCGTGCTGGGGAGTGGCTGGGGCTGCCCCCATGGGGGGGTCCCTAGGCTGGCCTGGGAGTGGGGCTGCTGCCGGGGTGTGTTGCTGGGGGCGATTCCCCAACCTGAGGAGGGTCTGTAACTCAGGACTGGACCTCTGCCTGAAAGAGCCGCAGGAGCTCTGGGCTGGGTGCAGGGATCGCTGGGGGGTTCCCAAGCCCAGCTCTCCCTAAACCCCAGCTTTGGCTGCCTGGTGATTCCCAAACTCCTGCCCACTCGGTGCAGGTACGGTGTGGCCTGGTCACCCCTCTGCCCCCTAGCTCCAGAGCGCCCCACGAACCTGGGGCAGAGCCCCGCGGGGCCGAGCCAGTGGGCGTGCGCGGGTGGGGGGCTAGACCAGAGGAGACGGACGGCCAGGAGGCTTTGGTTTGGGCTGCAGGCGAGTGAGGTCAGGGAGACCTTCCAGAGGGCTGCATATCGTGGGACAGCGCAGAAAAGACCAGCCAGGGTCCCATCACACCACGGCTGAAGGAGCTGTGATGGAGCAGAGGGTTTTCTTGTTTTTTTCAATGGTTTGCCTGCAGAGGGGGTAGGACTCAGTTTCCCTGTGTGTTACTGGTTTAACAAGGTGGTGGGAGAGGGAGTTTGTTGTTACCGAGGGCCAGCGAATGGCCTGGAGAATGGATACCCCAGTGACTGGTGACCTGGAGGCCCAGCTCGGGAGTCACAGCCTGTTCTGGCCAGTGGGAGGACAATGGGCTGTGGAGAGAGAACCCCGGTGACCTGACCAGCCGCTGGTTCCAGCTAGAGGGGAAACAAAAGATGGATGAGAGGAGAGGCCAGGAGGAGAGGAGGCCCAGGTGACCTGTCTACGTGGGAGAGAAGGACAGAGATGGGGCTTGGGGGCTGGAGATAGATGCCCAGCTGGAAGGAGGAGGCTTCTGGACTGGAGAGAGAGCAGCCAGAGCCCACCTGGATCCAGGAGAGACTGGGATGTGCTGTGCTGAGGGAGGTCAGGCCTGAGGCCCTGAGAGTTTCCTGTGCTGTGTTCAATGCTCAATAAACCCTCCTGCTTTACGCTGGCTGAGAGTCCCTCTGGTCTAGAGAACAGGGTTGCATTTAGCACCGGTGTGCCATTGACCAGGAGCTGGCTGAGGTAAGCGCTGCCTGGACGGAGCTCGCACCCAGAAATCCTGCCCCAGGTTGGAACCTCCTCCCACACCCAAATTCCCTCCCAGACCTCACACCCGGCACCCCAACCCCCTGCCCCAGGTT